ATATATATTTTTTTTTAATAGGAGCATTAGCAAACACCTACCACCAGCTCAGTCGGAGGTTCTCAGGCTGATTCCCTAGGTTCTGGGCATGGCAACATCTAGGTAGTACTGCCCAAATGGTGTGAGCCCAACTTGTGCTGACTGGTGCCAAAGAACCAACCAAAAACTCTTTGTCTTTCCCAAAGGAGCCTTCACATATTTTCCTTAAGGCCTGCTCTTTATAGTCCAGGTCAAAGTATATACCAATTTTTTGGTAATAATTTCCCCCTTTTAAATAGTGAACTTTTTTTTGTTTTTTTCTGTTTTATTATGAAAACTTTCAAACATGCAGGCAAAGTAAAAGAATGTATGCTTTGGAACCCATAAAGCTGCTACCTGGATTCTACAATTAATATTTTGTTCTTTTTTGCTTTAGCCCATACTTATTTTCATCTAGCCATTTCTTTATTTGTCCATAAACACATGTTATTATTTTCCAACATCCACATCCATACACTTCACATTTATATTATTAACTAAAGTTTAATTATTTGTTTATGGTTCCTTTTTTTTTTTTTTTTGAGGTAAAATTTACATTCTGTGAAAGGTACAAATTGAAGTGTCCTATTTGATGAATTTTAACAAATACATGCACTTCAAATCTCTATCTAGATATAGACTGTTTCCATCACCTGACAGTTTCCTCATGCTCTTCCCAGTTTGTCTCCTCTCACATACTGCAGCCCCCCAGAGGCAATCACTTTTCTGATAGTTTTTCCAGCATAGTTATGCCTGTTCTAGAACATGGAATCATGTATTATGTTCTCTTGGGTAATGCTCTTTCACTTCACTTCAGTATGTTTTTGATATTCATCCATGTTGTCACACGTATCTGTAGTTCTTTTTAACTGTGGATTTGTAAATAATCATTGCAAGTACTCAGAGCATTGAATTTGGCACATAAAGTCTCCTTGCCAAATCAGAGGACTGCCCTTGACCTCACCAAACCATTCAGAGAGTGGCAGGACATTTAGACGGAGCCAAATGGGAAAACAGGTGAATTTTCTAGTTAGGCTTAAGTTAGAAAACAACCTGATTTTGTAGGTAATCACTGGATAGTCTACAGTTAGCTCTAGAAAGCTTTATTTTGTCATCTCTTGAAAGGACAGCGACATATCAAATTATATCTTTTCATTTTATACCCCCAGTTGAAGATTCCTGTCTCTGGATCCAAGTCAGAGGGCTATCTCTATGTCAGCTCATCCAGAGATGGCCCCTTTAAGAGGTATTATGGGAAAATGGATGGGTTTGGGGGAACAGGAGGAGAACCTTCTGATGGAAACAATCCTAATTCCCATTTTCATTTGTAGTTATATGATTGCAGTAATAAGAATTAGTTTTTCAAAATGAAATCCTACCATTCACAATGACATGGATAGACCCAGAGGTTATTATGCTGAGTGAAATAAGTCAGACAGAGAAAGATAAATACCATATAATTTCATTTATATGTGGAATCTAAGGAAGAAAAAGAACAAACTAATCAAAAACAGACATAAATATAGAGGACAATCTGGTGATGGCCAGAGGGGAGCGGGGGTTAGGAGGTTGGGAGAAAAGTGTGAAGGGTTAAAGAAGTACAAATTAGTAGTCAATAGTTGGTCACGGAGATGGGGATCACGTCATAGGGAATGCAGTTAGCATTAATGTAATGGCTAGGTGTACAGCCAGAGGAGAGAAAGAGCTATTGGGGACTGTTTATAAGCTAAATGTCTAACCAATGTATACTTGAAACTAATAATAAAATTAAAAAAAAAAAAGAAAAAGAATTAGTTTTTCAAAGCTTGAAAAGTTTCATGGTCTGGGCATCAAGCCAGTGCTTTGACTCTTGGTGTAGTCCAGACATTTTATCCAATGCAATCTATAAAATTGTCCATTTTTTATGCTGCTGAATTTGAAGAACTTTGCAGTTATAGTGTAAGTCTACAATAATTTGGTATTTTTTTACAGCTTCTAACACTACTGCCTCAGTCGTTACAAATAAATAAAGGAATGGGTTCCTGTTCCAGAATTATTCAACGCATTTTTTATATAAGCTTTCCACTCCATTAATTGGCTTTTCTTGTCTAGGTGCCAATAGCTACATTACCTCACTTCCTGGGAAGGTTCTCAGAAATGTTTGCTGTTCACCCAGGATGTGTTTTAATTCCCCAGGACAAAAGGCACAAGCAGCCTTTAGGCAGCCCACAACAGGCTGCCCCTGGGCTCATTGACTCCAGAACCTGGGCTTGGTGAAGGAGCTGGCCAGGTTCCAGCCAAGAATTGAAGGTCCACATGAATTTGGAAATGGGCTATTAGCTGCTCCTTCTCTTTCCGGATGCCCCTACAGTTTTCCCATCAGTAATTTGTTGTTAAACTTGCCGTGACAATGATGCTAATTAAATAACAAGAACAGAGATGGCATTGACATAATGTTGACATTATGTTTGACACTGACATAATGTCAAAACATTATGTTAACATAAAATAGTGTTTATAGAAATTTAAGACATTATTCCAAAAAACTGCTTCCCCCGCCTTTTGACCATGTCTTCTGCCTTAATGTTTCCTTGATTAGAGACTATACTTTTGGTTTCTATCAGGTGGCACCTTCAGGAGGTCTTCTTAGAGCTCAAGGATGGTCAGCAGATTCCTTTGTTCAAGCGCAGTGGGGAAAATGGTAATGAAGTAAAAAAGGATTGAATGTGACCAAAAAGACCCAGTTTTCTCCAAGCATTGCTTTTCCTCATCACCATGTACTCTCTATGGCTTTGAGCCAGTTTTCTAGCTACCTAGAGGGATGATTGTATGTACAGGCATATTGTAATTTTGGTATAATTCTAATTTGACAATGAAGGCTATTGAAGTTTTATTTAATCAGAAATGTTGACTATTACATTTATAATTATTTCAAAGTTCTCTGTACAAAAGAATGGAATAAAAGGAATCACTACTAGTAATAAAAGATTTGTTGATTTTTTTTCTGGTGCTCATTTCTTTTCTTTTCCACTCCCCACACACCCCCTCATAGTTTTCAGCTCCAAGGAGAAGAACAAGTTTTACTAAACAGGTTTTTAATTGTGAACATTAGGATGCTGAGGAAGAACAGCCTTTTATTTTGGTCACTCTACTCTGAATTCATATTAAGTACCTTGTGGTACATTCTCCTCTCTGGCTCTCTACCTAGCCATTACATTACTGCTGACTGCACTCACTATGTTGTGCTCCTCATTCCCATGATCATCTATCAACTACTAATTTGTACTTCTTTAACCTTTCACCACTTTCTTCCAGCCCCCACACTCCCCTCCCTTCTGGCTGTCACCAGATTTTTCTCTATATTTGTGAGTCTGTTTTCAATTAGTTCTTTTTGTTCCTTAGATTCCACATATAAGTGAAATCATATGGGCCTTGAAGTCTAATATTCTGATAAAGCAGGCATGATGGAGTGCTTTGCAAGTAGGAAAAACAACATGAAAAAAGTCTCAGCAGAGGAAATGTGATCTATGCCCCAGAAATAAGATATTCAATTTGGCCAGTGTGTAGTTTTGCTGAAAACATCATAAAACAAAGTCCTGTTAAGGTAACTTGGCTCTAGTATGAATGCCAGCATTAGCATTTTGCCTTCAGCTTTTAGCCATCAGATTTGAGAATAAGTATATGATTTTCCTGTTAATAAAGGTTTAAGAGAGCATGCTAAATATGTACTGTATGCCTTTCAACTCATAAATTTTATTGTCACTTGTTCAGTTTTTCTGTTATTGACTTCCTCCTACCTTTCTTCCCACCATTCTCCATTTACCAATTCAGCAAAGATGAAGCTGAAATATGTATACATAAAACAGCCAGAACTTGACAAATAGTTGCCTCTGTCTTCTGCCGTAGTTGAAGGGTCAGGGAAATGCTCAATAGACAGCAGCTTTAGAGGGTTTTCTGAAGGCAAGCAGCCTTAGGCTACTTGACTATTTTGGTGTTTTTAGTTTGTCCATATGAAAAATCTGAATATTTAGCAATTACCTGTCTTACAGGTGAGGCAATAGTTATACTGTTCATTGGGATTCCTGGGGAAAATATGCTATATATATAGGAGGCCTGATGATAGGGGTGTAGGATAGGGGTCATGAAGTAAGCAGAAGGGTGATAGGAAAACCTCCAGTCTCTACTCACAAGAAGATTCTCGCCTCCCTAGTAACCTGTTCATAGTCCAGGCTCGTCTTTTGGCTGACTTCAGCAGAGTTGCTGAGTTGAAAGTACTGTCAGGAATGTGTACAGAAAAACAGTGGCATTTTATGATCCAGGGCAAACAGTTGAGAGATGAAAATATTAAAAACATATCTCAGACACAGGTACCACAGATCACATGTATTAAATGCCTTTTGTTATTAAAAAGCTTTCAAAGCAGAAATTAGTTTATTTTTCCCCCACTGCAGAGCACTTACCTTTTAAATTTAGCTACCATGCATGTTTGTCAGTTACCTTGCAGTAATAAGTCATTTTTTATTTTCAGATTATTTTTATAAAGTATAAAGGAAACTATAGACCAATCTCCGTATGAATGTTGCAACATTCTAAGTAAAATGTTAATAAACTGAATTCAGTGATAAAATATGTAGTATATTGCATTATTTTTCACAAAATATTTTGGTGCCTTTCCCTTGCAGTGCCTTTCTTTATGGGAAGATTATACATCCCTGCTTTGTTGAACTTAGGTGTGACCATGCCATGTAATTTGCTTTGGCCAATGAATTGTGAATGGAATAACATCCAAGACTTCTGTATGTATATATTAGCTTCTTCTTTCAGAAAGAAACAATGGAAGAGTAACTGAAATCAATAAAAGTAGTCATCTTTTTATGGCTGAATAATATTCCATTGTATATATGGAATATATAACTTCATTTGTTGCTGGGCATTTAGTTTGCTTCCATATCTTGGCTATTGTAAATAGTGTTGCCATGAACATAAAGATGCATAGATCTTTACGAATTATTGTTTTGGTACTCTTTGGATAAATACCCAGAAGTGCAAAAAATGAAATCCTACCATTTGCAATGACATGGCTGGACCTAGAGGTTATTATGCTAAGTGAAATAAGTCAGAGAAAGATAAAATACCATATGATTTCACTTATATGTGGAATCTAAGGAACAAAAGGAACTAATCAAAATAGACACATAAATATAGAGGACAGTCTGGTGACAGCCAGAAGGGAGGGGAGTGGGGGGACTGGGAGGAAGTGGTAAAAGGTTAAAGAAGTACAAATTAGTAGTTGATAGATGGTCATGGGAATGGGGAGCATGACATAGGCAGTGCAGTCAGCAGTAATGTAATGGCTAGGTGTAGAACCAGAGGGGAGATAGAGTAATCAGGAGGATCTTTTCATAAACTATATAAATATCTAAACAATGTACTGTAGTATACTTGAAACTAATAATAAAATAAAGGACTAAAAAAAAAGTAGTTACCTTAAGGAAAAGCAAACAATGGCAAGGGTATATAGGTAGGAAATAGGGATGGAAACTATACCTCCCTGAATGTACCTTGTTTTATAGTTTTGACTTTGAAACCATGATATTTTGTTTTCATATAATTTAAAAATAAAGCACAAAGAAAAAATATTGAAACAACATAGAGAAGAAATATTTCCACTGACTTTAAGACACTTCTGACTCAACATCCTTGGTGGGATATATCCTAGTGGCAAAAATAAACCCCAAGAAATCTTAAACTACATTCAGTGTGTGTGTGTGCATGCGCACACACACTTGAGACTTTCCTTATTTGTAACTTCTCAACAGGGAAATCTGGCTCATATTATCCTAGGTATATTTATGGATTTGCTCAAGTCTAGAATATACAAAGGACAGTTCTGGAATTGCTAACTCTAAAAAGCAAAAAAAAAATGTGTAGAATTCAATATATGTTTGTTACATTTAAAGGTAAAATTTACATACAGCGAGATGCATCATTCTTAAAGCGTGCAATTCCATGTATTTTTACAAATGCTTGCATTCATGTAATCCATATTATCCATAAAGATAATATGGATCTTTATATAGATCATTTCACCCATTGCCCCAGAAAATTCTCTTCTAGTCAAGTCCCAGGGATTCCTGCTCTGCCCCCAGAGGGAACCATGTATCGACTTTTTCACTATAAATTTATTTTTGGTGCTTGAGATTTGGTTTAAAATACTCAGCGTGCCAATTAGTGTAGATGACAAAATTGTAATTGTTAAAGCTGTTGATGGGTATACATGGGGGTTTCTTTCACTGTTTCTCTACTTTTGTGAATTTTCGACATTGTCCATTTTTTTATGTTAAGTAACTTTTCAGTATTAGTTCAGGTGTAGTCTTCTTTACGAAGTAATGAGGGCACTAAAACTCTATCTATGCTCCTTCATGAATTCTTATCATAGACCTTGAGTTTTCAAAATGATAAATTAGATAAGTATCAGGACATCTCAGGTAAAATATCTCTCTTCTCTCCAGTATCTATATAGACTCTCCCAGACTTTTCTCACAAAGCAAGTAATTTCATCTAAGTCAGGGAGGAAATTATGGAAGGGATTTGCTTTAATATGGTGTTTATACAAAATATTTTGAAAAATTCGATCAGGAAGATTTAAAAACATAACAAAGAAGGAGGCTTTTAATATTAAGCAGGGAGAGATGAATAGGGAGTCACCGCTAGTGGGGATGGGGTTTCTTTTTGGGATGATGTAATGTTCTGGAATTATAGGTGCTAGTTGGATTAACGCTCTAAATATAAAAAACAATTATACACTTTATAAGGGTGAATTTTATGGCATATGAATTATATCTTAATAAAAATGTTATAAAAATTATTTTAAAACCAAAAAATAAAATATACAATTAATAGTAAATCCAAGCTACTTGTCCAAAAGTCTATACTTATTCACCCTATAATCCCTTATCAAGCTGGATGACAGATTATTTACATATGACAGTTTTTTTCTTCCCAATTTCAGCTGGATGATTTAAATGAGAGTAAGAAAGATACAACATAATCAGGAAAAATATTTATTTGCTTGCTTGTTTAATTAATTAATTAATTATTTGTAGGAAGAATCTTTAAAAAACTTGTGAGAGAATTATACTCCTCTTTGAAAAATGATACTTAAAGGCCACTAGCATCTCAAAGGGAAAGACAATGTTTTCCATTTCTGTTAAACATGGGATGAAGGAAGGTAGCTAAGTCCATCACAGAATTAAAACCATTGAGTTAAAACTTAATATCTCAGCCCCCAAAAGAGGAACTTGGAAGCAAAGAATAGTGAATGAGTCATCTGCATAAGTTTTGATATTAAAGATGATCTTATTGTGTTTTCTGTTTGTTTGTTTGTTTGTTTTTAATCTACAAAAACTGAAGCTTTGAGAACATGTTCCAGGGCACTTCATGGCCTTGCTTCTGAAAACCATTTGGAGAGTCTGAGTTTTTTACTGCTCACAGGGGTTAGGTTCAGATTACTCTGGTGGTAAAAGTCTGGAGGATGGTTGTTAGAATCTTGTGTTCTTTTTTTAACCAGAATAAAAGCATTTTTAAAAAGTTCAGCAAATCATTTAATTTCTCTTTCATTGCTGTATTGGTTGGCATGAAAATTCCCTCATAACTATTTCATCTAAATCATTCACCATATAAAACTAGGAACTTAGATATTTTCCCTGAAAGATATTCATGTAGATTCCACTCTTTAAAGTAGAAAAGCAGAAAGAAGTAAAACACAGTTGAACCTTAAACCATGGGTTTGAACTACTTATACATGGGTTTTTTCCAATAAATATATTGGAAAATTTTTTGGAAATGTGCAACAACTTGAAAAAACTGGCAGATGAACCAGGAAGCCTAGAAATATCAAAAATTTTTAAAAGGTATGTCATAAATGCATGAAATATGTGTAGATACTAGTCTGTTATCATTTACTGCCATAAAATATAGACAAATCTATCATAAAAAGTA